TCTAACATTTCGTTTAAAAAAGAGGTAAAAGATAATGTTTAATTAGGGAGATCGATTAACATGTGACGTGTTTCCGACGTCGCACATGCTCGGTCGCCGACAGTTTCCCCGGATGAATTTTTTAAATAGTAACGAGGCAAGTTCGTTGTCTGTTAAATTAGTTTTGAAACAATATTGCTTGTACGCCGTAAGATTCGATTTCCTAGAAAACGTTGCACGCGACAGGGCGGAACGTGCGCGTCATTGTACAACTTTGCGCGCCAGGAAGATCGACGAAAGTCGAGAAATAATAAATCATTTTTATCAATATTTAATACGATTTGTTGTTAATATCATCGTTGACGTTTCTAAGTTTCGATAATTATTTCCAAGCCTAATCGATTTCTCCGTTAAGCCCCGGTGTGTTCTCGTTGGCCCGTCGAGTGCGGGAAATACGATAAAAATTAATTGCTTGTAATTGCTCAATTTAAGTTAATCCAATTATACGCGCGGGCCGAGCGACGGAGTGTGAACACACGATTTTCTCGCGTAAGCCGGATTATCCTGGACGATCCGTGCAAACGATACGGACTCGATTTGTCTTCTTTGAAAAAAGCGGATAACACACACAAGAAAAAAAAGAAGAGAAAATAGAAGAAGGAAGAGGGTTTAGAGACGAGAGACGCCTTCTAATTACGGGAGAGAAAAAAATAATGAAAAATTCGTACATTATACGCGACCTATTATCAACAATCGTTGCGAAATTGTTTACGATACTTTACCCTTGCCGTGAGTGGGCAGCTGATTGTTTTCGTAATTCATCAAGAGGTTCTCGAGCACCATGGTAATATTTTTCGAGACAATGTCGTTCATTGTCCCCCTACTCGCCGCAGACTTCGAGGAACCTTTCGGCGAGGGGGAGGAAACGTCGAGGGCATAATTCCTGTGCTTAATTGCCAGTAGCACTAGAAACACTAATCTGTAACAGAAACGATTAATTCCCTTCGCGGCACGAGCCGCCATCCAACAAATTATTTTAGTCAAATTATTTTATTCAGATTATAGTATATTCGAAATATTTTATTCAGATTACTTCATTCAAATTATAATATTCAAGTTATTTTATTCAGATTATAGTATTCTAATTATTATATTCAGATTATAGTATTCAAATTATAGTATTCAAATTATTATACTGAGATTATAGTATTCAAATTATTATATTCAAGTTATTTAATTCAGATTATAGTATTCAAATTATTATATTCAGATTATAGTATTCAAATTATAGTACTCAAATTAATATATTTAGATTATAGTATTCAAATTATAGTACTCAAATTAATATATTCAGACTATAGTATTCAAATTATAGTACTCAAATTATCATATTCAGATTATAGTATTCAAATTATAGTACTCAAATTATTATATTCAGATTATAGTATTCAAATTATAGTACTCAAATTAATATATTCAGATTATAGTATTCAAATTATAGTACTCAAATTATTATATTCAGATTATAGTATTCAAATTATAGTACTCAAATTAATATATTCAGATTATAGTATTCAAATTATAGTACTCAAATTATTATATTCAGATTATAGTATTCAAATTATAGTACTCAAATTAATATATTCAGATTATAGTATTCAAATTATAGTACTCAAATTATTATATTCAGATTATAGTATTCAAATTATAGTACTCAAATTAATATATTCAGATTATAGTATTCAAATTATAGTACTCAAATTATTATATTCAGATTATAGTATTCAAATTATAGTACTCAAATTAATATATTTAGATTATAGTATTCAAATTATAGTACTCAAATTAATATATTCAGACTATAGTATTCAAATTATAGTACTCAAACTATTATTATATTCAGACTATAGTATTCAAATTATAGTACTCAAATTATCATATTCAGATTATAGTATTCAAATTATAGTACTCAAATTATTATTATATTCAGACTATAGTATTCAAATTATAGTACTCAAATTATCATATTCAGATCATAGTATTCAAATTATAGCACTCAAATTATTATATTCAGATTATAGTACTCAAATTATTTTATTCAGATTATAGTATTCAAACTATTTCATTCGGATCTTTTAATCCAACTTTTAACTCGAAGTTCGTTTGTTTAAAAGCGACTGTTTTGTCGGGGGAAAACAAAGTCCGCGGCGGCGGGGTAAAACGGAGCAGATAGAGGGGTGAACGATTAAAGAACGATCGGTAGAAAAAAAGAAACTGGAGATAGGCAGAGCACAGGGTCACATGTAGGTGGCCTACGGGAAGGGGGCGGCAGAGGGCTAGAAGGGGGATACGAGTACAAGAGAGCACTCCTTAGCCGCGGACTCAGCAACTTCCGACGAGGGTACCCCTCGATCTTTCGAGTGAACGTTCTCCCTCGTTACGTCAGAATCGCCCTTCGAGTCCTTCCGGTGCCATTTTACAAAGGGACTATGAAAAACAAGGCTTTCTCATCCCCTAGCAATCGCCGCAGACGCTAACAACAACTGTGTCGCATGCTATCGAAGATGTTACGCAATTTCTTCAGCCCCGAAACGATGTCGAAGCACGCGGAGACCGATCGTGACAACATAAATATGTTATTTTAGGATTTTAGGAATTTGTTTAAACAAAATTTTAGGGCGATTTTTGCATAGCTGGACAGCTCTTGGAAAACTGAGTCACTTTTGTTCGCACAGATTTGTCAAATTTTGCACCTGTCGGTAGTTACGGCGATTCGAACGCTCATGGGAGCGCGGAGCAGCGTATACTATAGATGGAAGCACGTGATCATCCCGGAATCTATAGCACGGACAATTGAAATCGCTGTAACTTTCGATCGAAGCGATATTTTGAGAAACTGTTTGAACGAAACTTGTTCGGTTTTTGGAGAACTGTACGACTATGTAAAAATATCGTGGATTTAGAGTTGATTAATAATACGTTATGGAGCGTATATTAAAAATTGTTGAATCGGCTGTACTCGTTCGTGTTATTTCTCTGTGAAACTGTCAAAATTATTCTTCAAACAAATTATTAGAAATATCTTTGAAGAGCTTTGCGATTCGCACGAAATTTTTGTAATCTCGACTTCGCTTATTTGGTTTCGCATTGTTTAAACAAACAGTTGCCGCCGCGGTGACAACATCGAACTGTATTAAACATCGAATCGTATCCCGCGGAATATATTATGGTAATGAAAGCTCTGCGGGCGATCGAGATTCCGAGTTAGTTGTTTGGCCGGGCTCACAAATGTGGCCGCTATTGGCACAAGCCGTTAATGAAAAGCTGAAATTAAAGTGGCACCAGTTCTCCCAGTAAACGTGTATCCGCGATAGCCGAAAAAGAAAAAATAATCAGTCCTTTTTCTCTGTTTTCGCGGTTTTTTTCCTTCTTTCTGTTTTGTTTTTTTTTGTTTTTTTTTTTGTTACCAACGGCTCGTCCCTTTTTACTTATTAGACCCCGTTTTTTATTTTTCACGCCGAGCCAAGCCGGCTAATATCCGCGCGGCAATCGGACTGCGGGCGTTTATGCGAATCCTTTTTCGCGCCGGCTTCTTCGAAAATTGACACCGTTCGCGGAAATGCAGAATTTATTCGCTCCACTTTCGTTTTATGAAAACACGCTTTGAAACGCGACGTTCCGATTCGCGCGCCATTTAATCTTTTGCGAAACGCGAAATTTCTCATCGTGCAAATTTATCTTTCCCGAACGATTAGCTTGCGTATCGCTTTCGTCAATTTTTAGTCGACAATTTACGGGAAAATGATTTTATTGCGTCGAGAACAATTTGATTACAATTTCGATCCTCGCTTAAACGATTCGTTTAATCTGTTTATAAATGGACGATGTTTCGACAGAGTTGTTTTTTTAAGATTTTGTTGATTAATTTCACCAGCTAAATCTTTCGATTGTTTACATACAGTCTCGTAATTAATTCGATCAGTTTCGACAGCGCGATTTCGACGTTTCGATGATTACGTCGATTATTTGTGCTGGTTTAATCGTTGTTTTCAATTGTAAATAATCGAAACATGATACACGGAGAATCGACTTACGTGAACATGTCCGCAGCTTCTTGCCAGGAAAATTGATTGCGCGGGTAGCACGGATAATTGCCGAAAAATTGAAGAACCTCGAACCGAATACCGGCACTTGCGAACGAGATCTACATATTCTTGTGACAGATCCTCGTGGATCTCCCACCTGGGAGACGAAACAGTCTGCCGCGCAAACTCCAATAATCCTACGTTCAGCGGCGTTAACGAACGTTTCTATTTCTTATGTCTCTAGTTTCTTCTCGTACTTATGTTCCTAACATATTTAATTTCTCACTGTATCCATGTATTAATATATTCTATATGCTAATATATTCTGTTTTATATATATATATATATATATATTCTATGTATTAGTATATTCTATTCTATAATAATAATTATTATTAGTATTAATATTCATAGAATTAATATTAATATCAATAGTATATAATTATTAATATTCTATTAATATATTCTATATATTCTATTCTATAATAATATTCTATTAATATATTCTATATATTTTATTCTATAATAATATTCTAGTAATATATTTTATATATTCTCTCTCTCTCTCTCTCTCTCTCTCTCTCTCTCTCTCTCTCTCTTTCCATTATATGCATATATAAATGCAATGCATATCATCGAACCAATTAAAACAGAAAAATGAATGAATAATAAACAATTTAAAACAGAAAAATGAATGAAATCATGGTTTTCTTCAATTGCAAAGTGTCGTACAAATTTTACTGCGAGATTTAAATTCGAGTCGACGGAATCTACAGGAAATGATGTATAACAAGTGAAGAAGAACATCGAATCACATGTCACGGTGACTAAACAAAAATTTGATCGAAAGATATCAAATTTAACATAAAGTTTCAATGTCTAAAATCGTTCCCGCGTCTCAATCTGTATAATTTTCCCTTATCCTAGAATTCATTTCTCCATCGCATTTCTGTTCAAAGAACACTATTTAGTATGAAATAGAATATCTCCAAATCACATTTTTCTTCAAATGTCTCAGTATTGAATTAGAACAGCGATATGTTAACGATGCGTAAAGTTTCCGAACGTTTGTCGGTAAGCGTATAATCTTAGAATAATCGTAACTATATTGCCAGAAACAATCGCCGGATCGTGTTAACGATATCTACTGAAATCGAGACACGAGCTTCGACACCGATCCGACACAAATTGTTCCGAATCGCCTGTAGCCGATCGCTGCGCCATAGAAAGTACCAGAGTCCGATTCAGTCTGCGAGATAATCCCTCGGTTCTTCTTCGCCGGTCGAATGACGGAAACAATTCCGCCTGGATCGCCGGACATTCGCTGTAAACGGCGCCGACATCTCGCTCGAAATTAAATGGATCCGCTTAACGCGAGAACGTACGTACGCAGTAGTGCCCGCGCGACTTTATTGATATTGCCAATTTCATTTTGTTCATAAAGGCGTCGAACGACACCGTGCGACGTAACTGCGATCGCAGTCGATACGGAGATCGTCCGGTGCGATTTCCGCTCGACCCGGAACCGAGAAACCGTCCCCGGAAAGGTGACCAGTTCCTTTCCACCTGGCCTTTCTTCCGCCATCGTCTCGCGCGGTTCCTTTATGACGGTCATCGATGGTCAAATAACTTTTTAACGATTTTTTCGCGATCGTAGAATTGCGTAATACTCTCCCTCTCTCTCTCTCTCTCCCACTCTCTCTTCCTCTCTCTCTCTCTCTCTCCCACTCTCTCTTCCTCTCTCTCTCTCTCTCCCACTCTCTCTTCCTCTCTCTCTCTCTCCCACTCTCTCTTCCTCTCTCTCTTCCTTTCTCTCTTTCTCTCTCTCTCTCTCTCT